TCCTATCCCTATCCTAACATTTTGTTTCCCCTTAATGTATTTACAGACATCTTTACTGTTAATTTTGACATTTTCAGCCAACGTTTTCTCATACATCGTTTTTGATATCCTAATTTCCTGTTTCACCCACTTTATTGATCTTCTATAATATTCCAAGTCTCCTGTCATACCGGTCAATTTAAATTTCTTAAATTTATGATGATTTTCTTTAACTTTATTTCTTAAACTCTTTGTGAGCCAACATTGTTTTTACTTGTAGCTATCCTTTTCTTTTTATTAGGAATGTGTTTACGTTGAATATTTAAAAATTTTCCACATCTGATCAGTGTCTCCAAATAACTCAACTTCCCAATTCACAACAGATAACTCTTGTCGCATCCCTTCAAAATTTGCTTTTCTCCCTATTTACCCCACAGACTATTCTATCCACATGCCTTATCAAGGAATCACCTATAACTATAACCTTCTCATCATCAACAACCTTTTCTGACCCTTCTGTTTTCCTTCCCTCCAATAGTTCCCCATCTGCAGAAGCCAGAGGCTGAAATTTGTTGCTCAACAGATAGACGGACAGACAGATATACAATGAATATATAAATAGATGGAACCTGAAATAGAGCACTTTGTTCTATATAGTAAAGGAAGACCTATGCATCTACACACATCTATGAGTCACTTGAATACTTCTGATTAGAACCAACTGTTTTCACTTACAGAAATTGAAATAGATGGGCAGACAGACAGGTATACAATGAATAGACAAATATATTGTTGGAGTATTTAATTGATTTAATTTGATATTCACGCGGATAAGAAATATTTGTTCAACTCAACATCATTCTGAAAGATGCAGCTTTTGATTGTATGTACGGTTCTACTTTGTTGATTAATGTGTTGAGGAAGAAACGGGCCAGAAAGTATCGGCGTAAATTTTCTGATTCCACTGGTGCTGTTCATTATAGTTTAATGAGTAAATTACAACTTCAAATTCAATATTACTTTTCTGAAATTATTAGACTGTTTGAAAATTCCTGACTTAGGGCTACGTTAATAAGAACACTGTAGAGAGCTAATACCGTAATATGATTCATGCCCCCCAGTGGCACAGCTGTATGTCTGCGGACTTACAACGCTAGAATCCGGGTTTCGATACCAGTGGCGGGCAGAGCACAGATAGCCAATTGTGTAGCTTTGTGCTGAATTACAAACAAACAATATGACTCATTAGAACAAGCATAAATTTCTAACAGTTTATAATTCTAAAAATCAAAGTAAAATATCTTCTTACTTCTACTGTTTCCAGGAGACTTTGACAATGAGAATAACATCAGTTAAATTAATTCAAAAATTTAAAACTAGAACACTTTAATATTTTACAGATCAGCTCTCATTTGGAAACAAAAAAAAAACGTAAAAGTTATAAATTGTGATCGGTTTTCTGCTTTAACGCAACGGCGCTTCTGTGCCTCAAAGTATAATAAATAAGCTAGAAATGCTTCTTCAAATTTTACACCTGCCTACATACAGGAGCACGAGTGCGCTTTACACAGTAAGGTTAAGTTATTTTATATGGTAATGATATGTCAAGGCAACATGTGACAGTTGTTCTTGCTGGATTAGCCAAGCACCACTCAAGCGCACTCTGCAGGTCTACGGTAGATGCATCGTGTAAACCGTGAACATGAAATAGATTGCAAGCACATAAGTAAACAAAAACATCACGTTAACATTTTTGAATTATATTCTTCTACAGTTTAAAAACATGTTTGAACTTTTCACCCGAGAGAGGGAACCAATAGTTAGTGCCAAAGGTAAATGTTAACTAAACCTCAAAATCTGCGTTCTTTATCAATATTTTAGTGACAAGGCGAAAAAAAAAAGCCAAAAGTAAGAAGAGACATCGGATAGTTTATAAAAAAGAAACAATTTTCTTGCAAGGATATTGAAGGCTCTAAAAGTACTAAAACTATAATAATTTGGTTTTCTCTGTCTTACCAAAACATATTTATCGAGTACCTGTAAAATTAATGTAACAGTTCTAAATTATTAAATCTACTTTCATACTTTAGAGCTAATAATAGTTTCTAAGTGGTATTTAAAAATAAGTGAACAACTGATTCTCAAGTGCCAAACCCATCAATTTACTAGTGACCTAAGGAAAACCAAAACACGTCCATGTTACTGTGATCTCAGCAAGACCAAAACACTCATTTTATAGCAACTTCAGCAAGACCAAAAGACATTCAAGTTATTGTGACCTCGGCAATATCAAGGTCCAAA